AATAGTTTATTAAATATGTTTTATATTTATAATAGATATATTAAAACATTAGTCTTTGCTTTTGAGGAAAAGATGTGTTGGAAGTTACGGACTGTATATTTTTTGTTAGGGATATGTTGTAGTGCAGCTGAGATAATGAATATTGGCTAATGATGTGAAATTATAATAATATGCATTATTATAATAACTTGTTAGTAAAGAATATAACTCTTTTAGAAGATTCTTTTTTTTTGTTAGCCCTAGTAATTTTTCTAAAAAGGGTTCTGAACCAGTACCTGAGTTTTCTTTAATATTTACAGATATTGAAAGAAACTCTTAGCAATCATTTCTATTATGTATAGTAAGATTGCAGTTTATTGTTTTTTGTTTAATGAACTATAAACAAGTTTTTAAATAACTTTTAGTATTTAGTAAAATCTCATCTAGTAATGTATAATACTGCATAGTTTTAAGTAATTCAGATTCAACTCTTCTGTTGCTACTATGAATTGAACTTATAAATCAATAAAAATACTATATATGCTATTAGTATATTAATATAATTATTAATAAGCATAACATAACTTTATATAATATATATTACTATAAATATAAATATATATCTTGAAAATAACTTTATAGTACATGATATCGTAAGATTATTTTTTAAAGCAAAGACTAATGTTTTAATATATCTATTATAAATATAAAACATATTTAATAAACTATTCATCTTTTTGAAACTAAAACACGAAAAAAAATATATAAGCCTATAGTCTATAACGTATTTATATATATATAAGCATAAATATAAACTAGGTATTATTTTTTTAGGACTATAGATTTTTTCAATAAGCTTTATCATATTAAGTAAGCACTAATATACTTCTTCTAATTTGTCTTTATATAGAATCTAACATATCTATAGATAATTCAAAAAAAGAAATATAATAACAAAAATGATTAGTATTATTATCAAAATTTTCTTTTTTGAATTATGATTAGAGTTAATACTTTACTATATTTTTATAATTATATTTTACTATAAATTTTTAACAAAATATTAATTCAGATATATTTATATTTAGATTAAAGTATTAACTTTAATTATGATAACACCTATAAATTTACTAAAATTAAGCAAGCCCGAACAAAATATATTAAAATTTTTCAGTTATTTTCTTGTAACAAATCTTATATTATGAAAGTTTTGTACGCCAAAACAAAATTCTTTTATTGATCAGCTATAAACTCTAAAAATTCATCACCTATTGCAATTCTGTAAGGTACATAGCCAATATCAGAAGAAACTTAAATTTTTTTAGCTTATTTGTTTATTAATTCTAGATCCTGGGATGTTAAAATAGCTTTATCAATCTATAATTTTATAATCCATTTAGCTATATCTAAAAATAGGTAATGCATTGGATCTATTATAGTAAATCAGAAGAATAATATAGGAAAGCCAATACATTTCTGATCAACAGACTAAAGTTTCTGATATATATTTTCTCCTTGCATCTTTGATATTATAGTCTTTCTGCACAATGGCATCTTGGTAAACTTCATTGATATTCTTTTCAACAAACCAATTAGACATATCATTAAATCTACCAAAATTAGATTAATTCCTATAGTCGTAATTTGCTTTTTTCAAGCACCTATAGCAAGCTATTCAAGCTAAAATGAACTCATATAATTTTCTTGTAGCTGGTATATCACTAGAACAACATATTATTGCTACTCTAATAAATTTTCTGGCAGGGCTTTCAAAAATACTTGATAGTCTAATACTATCAAATAAACCTATAAACTAATCAACTAGAGAAGCCAAAAAATAGTTTAATTAATGTAATTTTGATTTTTTTGGCTCAGAAATTAATGCTAATATTAGTATATTCGATAGCTTGAATTGCTCATCATATGGAAGGTTGCAAATTATTCCATAGATCACTTCAACACTAAAAAAAAAAAACAATTTATAATTTAAAAAAATGATACAAAAAAAAAAAAATCAATTTATAATTTAAAGAAACAATACAAAAAAAAAAAAAAATCATATAATTTAAAAAGACAATAGACTAATCGAAACTTATACCGTACTTATATTGGGAATTGTCAAAAGGCTGAAACTAATCAATGTTTAATATTATCTCTAGATGACAATCCAATACTTTATTCTGAAAAAATATCAAATTTTTGCTAGGATTTTAAAAGGTTTTCTAAATTTTTCTATCATAAATATTAGTTAGTAAATTAGAATCTACTAACCTTCCAACCTACTTTTTGCAAGAATACTCAAATCTCCTTATTATATAACAACTTTAGTTGGTTTGCCAAAGAAATAGTAGGAAAAATCAGCACCAGTTTATAAATAATCTCTATAAAAACAAATTTTAATCATCTAATTTATAAAAAAATTATTGTAAAAATAAATATTATTTTATCTAATTTTATTGTAAATTTTTTTTGCAAAAAAATTACAATAAAATTAGACAAAATAATATTTTTTAACAAAAAATTAATTCTTTATAGTGAATATCTTTTAATATAGGTATTTTTTTTAGCAATAGTTGAATTACAAGAATGTCTTTGATTTGCTATTAGGTGATTCAGTACAATGGCTAATTTTAGATTCTGTATTAGGTTTTTTGGTTGATATATCGGCAATATTATATAACTTACAATATTTCTTACATGTTACATACTTGACTATATAAGCACAGACTTCAAGTACTTTACATACCATACCTAAACTAGTTGAAAAAAAAGCATATACAACTGTATCTTGAAAAAGCAAAAGATACTAAAAAAATTTTATTAATACATTAGTTAATACATCAGATATTCAGAACCTCTATTGAAATTTAAGAATCTATAAAATTATTTATGTAAAACCTATAAAAAAGTCTATAGGTTTATAAGATATATTTATATCTTTATATATATTATTGTCCAGTATATTAAAATTAATTTCTTGTTCAGATAAATTTTTATAATAATCTTCAACTACTTGATCATCTTCTTTATCTGAAAACATGTTTTTGATTAATTGCATAGATATTTGTGCTCTTCTTTCTTCAATACAAATTGGTTTCTTCTCTTTTTTAGAATGACTTTTGGTAATGAAACTGTAATTTTCTTCATAAAAAATTTCAGAATTATTATTAGAGCTACTGGTATCTACTCTTCTGGAATTTTTATTTCTAGAAATTTCATTTTCAGAAGGTTCACTATAGCAGCTTTGCCTGTTGAAAGTCCACCAATTTTCTAAAAATTTCTTTTAGAATATTATTTTTAGCCATAAGGCTTTTTTAGTTCTTGGATCAACAATATTACTATTACAAGTTTAATAGTAACAAGGTTCAGAGAGATGATTTCTTGAATTTTTAGATTTGGTAATTTTTCTAATTGTTTCTTTAACTATCCAACTCTTTTTTCTGTAAACCATTATAGTGATAAAAACTAAAAAAATATTGAGCAGAATATATAAGCAAGTAATATAAATAAGAGTATATATGAGCAAATATAAGAGAATTTATTTGTAAACAAATTAAAGCAATATAGATATAGTGATAGAATTAAACAAGAGAATGTAGTTCAATTAATAGAAAGAAAGCTTTATTTATACATAATTCAAATCTTTAAGAAAATTTGAAATATTGATATACCTTATAAGCTTTTCTAACTATTATTTAATAAACTTTATACTCTTTGTTTTGACAATTAAACTCTCTTTTTTGACAATTATTCTTTGTTTACATCATTGGTATTAAAATTCATATAAACATATCGATAGATTTTTTGCCTTGTAAGATCTTTTTATTACTATCAATAGTAGCTATATATTTTTTTTGTTTTGACATTTTAGTGATTCGAATTAACAACAATAAAGTTATAAACTGCATAATAAAAACATTATTAGAATCCTATTTTGCTAGTTTTATCAGTAAAATTAAACTTTTTGTTTTGATATTTTTAATGATTCGATTAACTATAGAGTTATCGGTATACTAATAGATCTTTCATTTGTTTAATGCAATTATTTATAAATTGCATAATATAAATTTTATTTTTAAATTACATAATAATACATATTTTAACATCTTAATAATTTGAATTAACTATAGAGTTATTGGTATACCAATAGGTCTTTCATTTGTTTAATGCAATTATTTGTAAATTGCATAATATAAATTTTATTTCTAAATTATATAATAATATATATTTATTTTATACACTTTATCTAACTATAAATTTTATTCTGATATTATTTTAAAGTACGTCATATGCAATCAAAGAAAAAATCATTAAACTTCTAAAAATACGACCTCACTATAAAAATTATAAATAGGTCATACTTTTTTCTTATCATACGTTTACAAATTTGACTCTTTTGCATTATTCTTTCTTTTTATAATATTTATTTGACTCTTTTGCTTTGCTTGTAAATCTTTATAATATCTGTCATTACATTTTTATATACTAATATATTAAACGAAAGCCTGATTATTAATAGGTAAATTAATATAAAATAAATCGCTTTTTCTTGTTTCTTTCCTCTTTCAATTTAAATATCAAATACCTGATAACCCAATTGTTTTCAAAATCTTTTTTTCTTTCAAATTACTTGATAACTCTATTGATTTTCTTTTTTGTTTTTTTGGATATTCATAATCACTTTTCTTTTTTCTCTCAACTAAATACCAAATATCTAATAACTCTATTGGTTTTCTTTTTTGTTTTTTGAATACTTTTAATTGCTTTTCCTTTTCTCTCAACTAAATACTGAATACCCGATAACCCAATTGATTTTCTTTTTTGTTTTTTTTAGATATTTGCAATTACTTTTCTTTTTTTCTCTTCAAATATTCATAACTCAATTTTCTTTGTTTTTTTGAAACTTTTGAAAAAAATGCATAGTAGAAGTTCTTACAAAATTAATATCGTTTCAAGTCAATGTTCAGTTTCCCCATCTATGTTAGTGCGAAATATATCATTTTGATTGTTAACATCTTATCATCAGTTTTAGTAATGGCAACAATTAGTAATACCTGCTCGCCAAACAACCATCGATTAGCATCTCCACCTCTCTAAATCAACCATCGATCAGCATCCCCATCTTGTCATTCACAATCTTTAGTTAATAGACAATGAGATAATGAAAGTTGCAGTCAAAGATCACCTACTCCAACTAATGAATGTTCTCATAGTAGAAGATCATCTCTTCAAACTAATAAACATTCTCACAGTCAAAGATCATCTCCAACTAATGAACATTCTTGTAGTTAAAGATCAATTTCTCTAACTGAACGTTCTCACCATCGGTCAAGAAGCCCCAATGCAAAAGATCAAGATAACTATATATGTATATGTATTTATAATCAAACTATTGACTTACCAATATTTCTAACAAAAATTTTATATATTAATAGAAATCACTTTTTTAAAAGACACTGTACAAGATTTGATTAACAAAGTTAATAAATTAAAATCCATTAAATTAAATGATCCACTAACACAAAATGATTTACCAACACAAAATGATCCACAAACAATACAAAATGATCTACTAATACCTATTGTCAATGACTTGGTACATTGAGGACAACTGGGCTATCATGTCTAATAAGTAACATAGATTTTTTAGATGATGATAATATTGATACAACTAAACTGCTAAAACTAATAAAGTTCCTCAAGATAATTCAAATACTACTACTATCACTCCCACTGGCTCTAATAAGAAAATGGGTAAAAAAAAAGTAAAGTTTTCATAATATTCCTGCAAATAATCAAAGGCTTTCTGTCACTCTAGAACCTCTTACCAGATATAATAAAAGATTATATGAATGTCTAGAAGAAATGATACCTGAACAATATAAGCTCTTCCATGTATGTGAATATAATATTATTATTATCATTATAAATTATTTTATTTTAAAATACTAATATTATTATTATTATTAATTTATCATTATTTTTATATACTATCATTATCTATTATTTGATTTTTACTATTATTATCATTATTATTTTTAGTTAATAGAACAAAGAAATTAATATTTTATGTAATTTAGATGGTGCTCTTCAACTCAATCCAAACAAAAGATGGATAGAAATTTCTCAGAACGTGTTTAAAAAAACTATGCCAGCAATCAAGGCAGCTTTGGAGAGTCATTTTAGATACAAAGATACTGAGCTTAAGTATGTACTCCAACAACTTCACCTTTACCGATGTAAAAAAAATCAGATAGACCAGGATCTAGAGAAATCAAAGGCTAATAAGAAAAGAAAAGAAGTGAATAGTCAATGATCAGAAGTAGATATTAAGGTCTTTAAGTTTTTTTTATAGGAATATCAGGTCACTGATATTAATTATAATTAATTTTATTAATAGAAAAAAAAAAAGCAAATTCAGGGTGTTAATTATATAGTTAATACAAATGATAGTAACCTTAAACAACTTGTATCTAATATAGATTTTAATGATTTTAAAGCTAATCTTGAGAATATAATTAACGGTGAAGAATTTCATTCTGACGAATTTTCTGAAACAGATATAGAGTGAATGATGTCTGAAAAATAGTTAAAAATATGGCCTAAAAACAAGAAAGATAATCATGTAATCTGTGTCTATGATAAGCTATAGAGATCATATAGAGTAAGTAAATATTTTATCGTTAAACTTTTTTTTTAATTTTTTTTTTTTTTTAATCTCTTAGATAAATTATATTTTCGTTATACTTTTTAGATTTATTTATTAATTTTTCTTTTTTATTCTATTGATATTAGATTAAAAAAATTTTACGTTTGGCTAATGAAATCGGAGAAAGAATCTTCCATATAAAATGTTCAAGAAAATATTGGTATAAAGATAATAGATGGTCAGACAAATCAAAACCTTTCTTTGATATATCTAATTAGACAATTTTTGCTACTTACATTTCTGATAAAGACGAAGAAGAAGTAATTGCATCTGGTAGTAGTAGTAACAGTACTGGTAATAACAGTAATATAAGTAGAAGAACTACCAATAATGCTTATAAAGCAACTGATGAAGCCCATGAATCAGTTGACAATAGTGCTTGGCAAAATTGAACAAAAACTCGACATTCGAGTTTTTGAAAAAGTTAAGCATCTATCAGTTACACAAATTATGTATCAGATATAAAATTTATTTTTAGTCTTAAACTTTGAAATAGTGATAGTACTTTAGCGTTTCATATATTATAGCGCTATTGTATACGTATAAAAAAATACTGTTTATTTTATTCTCATTGATAATAATATTTTAGATCCACCATGATCTATATTCTACTTTTACTTATTAATCAGTATTTATTTATTCTCATTAATACTATAATAATATTTTAGATCCGCCACGATCAATATCTAACTTTTACTTATTAATATTCACTACTATATGCAGATTTTCATTTGACAATATTTTGCAAGACCAACCAACCTACTTATATTGCAGATCTTGGATTGTCTAGAATTATAACTAATCAAGAGCGATATGAATCTGGGTGTCTGAGGTAGATATGATATTCTTAAATAACGGAAAAAGGTATATCAGTTTCAATTCTTATATTATTCTTTTTTTTTTCTATAAGGTTTGACAATTAAAAATGCTATTCTGAATAAGCAACATTATTTTAGGAGAAATTTATAGAATTATGCCCTATGCTGCACTAGAAGTTTTATCAGATGAGAAACAGTTTATACAAGTGGCAGATATTTATTGGTTTTGTATTATTATAGCACTGGGCAAAGACTTTTTGATGGATCAAATTTAATGCTAAACTTGGAGTAAAGGTTTGTGACCAGTATTTGTATCTGGAACTTCTAAATGCTTTATTAAATTGGCTGAGAAATGCATAAATTCTGATTTACAAAAATGACTTAATGCTTCAGATATTAACCAAAAAATTGAATCTTGGTTTAAGAAAATAGCTAGTTCAGATAATAATAAAATTAAAAAACAGTTTTTGGATGCTGATAAAGTTATTAAATCATCACTGATACAAAAGCATCCTGATGGAATATACACTAGCAAAATTATTAGCATGAAATTAATTTTAAAGGCGATTAAAGGTATCTATTTTTAATTAATTCATAAAAACAATATTATATTAATTTATTTAAAAAATGATATTATTTATTTTATTTAGAATTGTCAACAGTTATTCTTTGTTTAACAAGAATTACACAAATTTTCTTTGGAGTTGCTGGTAAATTCTTTCTTGAGCGGCTTGTTCTTGGCTTAATTGCTCGCTAGTTTGCTTATGCTCATTTTGCTTATTAAAAAGTTTTTCCTTTGTGGCACTTATATAGTAGTGTATAATATTTTTAAAATCCTATTAATGTGGCATGTTTTAATTAGTGTTTCAGATCAACTGGTCTTGTTAAATTTTTGGAGTGTCACAATTGTTATGAATTAGCAGGATGTTTTTTTTCTTCAATCTGATTTTCTTCAGCAAATGAGATGAAAATAACAACAAAGCAATATCGTCAACTTTAATATAGAATTAAGCAAAATATAGTGAATTAGATAATCATTGATAATGAAAATTTGAAATTTTTATTTTTTTAATTTTTTAAGTTTTTAATTTACATGTTATATAATTGTAATTTTATGCAAAATAGAATAGACATAGAGTAATATAATGAATCTTAATTAATAAATATAAATTTTTTGTTTTAAACAAAACAAAATAAATAAATTAGCAATTATATATATGTTGTTCTACTAAATTCCTACAAGTATAAATGAGTCAAAAATAGAAATTGTACCCATCAAGAAAATCTCTACTTGAGTACTATTAAATTATTAGTTATTCAGGTAATTTATTATAGTTATATAATAAAATATCTACTTGGGTACAATCTATAGTCAAATAGAAACTCTTTACAACAAAAAATATTTAACTCAACCTTTAAAGATTGTATCTGGGAAGAATTTGCTATTATATAGCTATAGTAACTTATTCAGATAACCTGGTAATTTAATAATACCCTGGTAGAAATTTTCCCCACATGTACAATCTTTATTTATAGCTATTTTCAAAAATGTGTGAACAACGATTTCTATATACCTATATGGAAAATCGATGAATTTAGAAATTTAGATTAGTAAAAATTAAACTTCTAATTAGAACAGGTCTTGAATACTCCAGAAATTTAGAAAAATATTATGAATTTCCATAACAAGGTGATTAGTGACCATTCACACCTTTTTGAAAACAGCTGTAATATAGACAATTAGATAATAATTCATTACCTCTGGTAATGATTTTAAGAACTATAATGGTAATATAAAGAGAAGTGCTTGGACAATTATTTTTTCTAATTAATCAATTAAAATTTCAGTCAATAAGCACAAAAAAAAGATATCTGGGCTTCCACTTCTTGTTGATTGGAATGATACTTTTAATCAATTAAAAATTTTTCAATAATTAAATTTTTCTCTTTGAAGTATTATAATGCATTTTATTCATCAAAATAAATAAATATTAAAATATTTTTACTATGACAATTTAAATTCAGACCAATTCACAGATTGACTAAAGCGTATGAGAAAATCTAAGTAAAAATCAAGCAAGTTTATTTAGAATTCCATTATGATTTGGAACCCATAAAATTTTATTTAAAAAGATAGTAAATATAAACTTACACTTCACTAGAAATGCCAAAACAAGACAAGATGAAAAATTCTCAATATTTTGACTTCTAGTCTAATCGATCTGTCATAACACTAACAAAATACTTTGATTTTTATAAGTGTGCTATCTAGAGCTACTGAGTTCTATATAAAAAGGTTTGTAAGTCAATTATTGACAGGAAAGGAATTTGATTAAACTTATCAAGAAAACAGCCAAAATTGTGATTATTATAAACATAGTAATCTTACTGTTACTAATTAAATTATGTTTATGCATATTTATAAAAATTTAGAACATTAAAAAAAAGGTAGATCTTACTCAGAATTAGGAACCATATTTGACCAAAATAGTAGATTATTGCGATAGTGTTGGTAAAAATATTAAAAGCTTTTAGTATAGATATTATGTTGCACAAACTATTTGAGATACCAAAACCATGTAATAATTAGTATAACATTGGTTTTAATTACTTAATTTCTTATAGTCAAAACTATGTGTTGCTAATTATCATATTTTTTGGGCTGTTTCAACTAGTTTAAATGGCAACTGAGAGAATAAAAATTTGCTTTAGTAAGCTAAATAAACAAAAAAACAGGATAAATTGTGGTATTGTGTCTTTGATATATTTTTCTCTTGATAGCTTGTTTAATACTAGCCTAAAAAGACAAACAAAATAATTTGAAAGAAGTTGCGCAGTTAAAATTATACCTTGGTAAAGACCAATAGCTTCAATAAACTATTTACAAAATATTTAAATCTTTATATAATTTATTATTGGATCAATACTTTATTTTCAGACTACAATATCTTCCTTCCACTTCAACTTCACTTTATAAAATAGAGATACTACAGCGTTAGCTATTGTCAGAACCTTTAAAAAAAAAATCTGAGAAAACACATTATGCTGATAATATATATATGCACCTTTATTCTTTGTATAATTATATTTCAATATTAAGTTTAATGTTATGAAAACCAAAAAATTAAATTTGTACAGCTAACTTATGTGAAATCTAGTTATTATTTATATAGCCACACCCTCTTTCTATAGTCAATCTTCATAAGTGCATTTTACACAACTTCTCTCTATAAGTCACATTATTTAGAGGTCTGTTGTAAATTATGTATAGTTGAGACTAAATCATCTTCATAAGTGTATATTCTACAACATACTTTTCTCCAACATGGAGAGTTGACAAAATAATTATCTCTATATGGGCACAATTCTTTATAGCCACCCTACAACATATTACTCTTTTGTGTTCTAAATCAATAATAGCTTAGTAGTATTTTAAAAGTATATAACTTATTAACCAATTAAAGAAATTAATTATTAAAATCATAAAAATCGCACTCTACCAGAGTATTTTAAAGAGCATTTCATAGGACTATGAATTCTATAAGAATTCAGATTTAAAAGACTACTTCAGAAGCAAAGCGATTCTTAAGATACTTGATGATATGATTAATTTTTTTGTAATTTGTATACTTGTAATATAGGTTAACATTTTTATTAAATTTATTCATAATAAAAATATTCAGAAAACAGATTAATTGGATGAAATGAGAAATAATAAAAAAAAAACCTAAAAATATCTGATGAACAAAAGTATGTATAATGTAACAACTTTTGTAGCTAAATAAGAATAACTTTTGTATTATATATGTACTGTATATACTACTGTACTATATATATTAATTAACATGTTTTATATGATTATATACTGAGCATCGAAAAAAAAAACTTTTTATTATTAATCTATCCAATTACCAAGTGCAATTGATTTTTGTATTGTTTTTAGATTTAGAAATTCATGTTTTACAGTATCTATGCCTGAGCCTTTTGAGAAAAGACTTTTAGACACTGCACTTGTTGCTGGTATGGCAAGGTAATCACATGCTATAGCCACCAACTTTCTGAATACATTTTTTACTACTAATATACATTCATATTATGATGTACTACAAGATTATTTAAATACTGTTCAACTTTATTTACCTCATTTGTAGACTCATAAAGTTTATTAAAAACTCATTTTAGATGGTCACTACTAGAAACATTACTAACTACACTACATCAGTGTTAACATTACTAACTACAATGTTTTTATATTTGTTATATTTATTATTTAAATACCCAGTTGCCCAATCAACCCACCTTTTATCCCACCTTTCTACTTCATAATATCTTGTTTTCAACCTTGGATCCAATAAAGTTGTTATTATATATATTGGATTATCACACTTTATGTAATAAAGCTTTAATTTATTAAGAGCTACTCCGATGGCCTTTCTTATATTTCTGGATGAATATTTTATTTCTAAATCTTCAAGATCATCTATAATTAAATTAAAGGCTAGTACGGCAAAAGGCATCGTTATGTAAAATTTGTCACACAAATCTTTAGAGATATCACGAAAAGTTTTTAAAGGTAAAATTATTTCTTCAAGCATACTCCATTCTCTTGATAAAAGACCTAATTTAGTAGTACAAATTAAAAATTGATTAATTGATTGGCTGTCTTAGTTAAATCAATAATTTTAACCCAACTATTAATCGATTAGTTGGCTAATTGATGAATAGTTGGGTCAAAATTATTAAATTGATTATTTAAAATACTAACCAAATTTATTTATCT